CAAATGCGTTTTGAGCAGCCAAAGCAGCCAGTTTACATGCAAATTCTACGGTGGATGTCTAGGAGCAGCGCATCGTGTTGCGGAGCGTTTTACCAGTTTGGAGCAGCGTGCAAGGTAGTGGTAGGATGCGGCAGAGCATTTTCCGTGCATGCAGCACATCCAAAGTTACTGAACAAACCGCCTCTAAATTATCTGTTGAATTAATTATCTGGTTTGTGTAACGTTCACTTGCTCTGCCATTTTAAAGACCGGAAAAAAAACAAACCCAACCGGAAAAGAACCAAGACGCTCCTCCCATTGTGCGTCTTCAGACACGTTCAGTGTGAACGGACATCTGTTAACAAGCAGCCAAAAACTGACATCAGGAGCGTTTTTGCTGCTCAAGACCCGTTTGGTGGTAACCCGGCTTCAGAAGCTGCTGTCTTGAATTCTGAACCACTTTCTGACAGAATTTTCACTGGAGGGGCATTCCAGTTTAACTTCATGTCTTTTAAATGGGAAATTCCCACTTCCCAGTACAACAAGGCCACAGYAAAAGTAGCTATCAAAAATGCAGCAAAAGGAGATCTTACATCAGCTCGTCATCGTCAGCTCCACCTCAGGTTGGGATGCCGTCAYATAGCAGGTAAAAGAAGTGACATGCATTATGGGAGATGTTAGGGCTGTGCATAAAAATAGACATATCGAGATATAACAATATTTTTAAAAACAATATTGCATAGATTTTCTTTCTTTTAATATTGACACACGTCCCCCAACCCTTAGGGGGCAGTATGACAATGTGTGATTCCTGTTCAGAGCAAGGAACAGAAAGCTGCAAATGAGATTGATGAGTAAGCAAAATGCACAGCAGGAAGAACCTTTGTCCTTAAACACAGACATTTGGACACATTTTGTTTTTCTACAATTATAAATATACTATACAATTTTATATTTTCCTCATTTTGTTGAATCAGTGGCATTGAGCCATACGTATAAAATAATATGTTTCAATATAGAAATTTAATCGAATTGCACTGTGTCAAGAATTGTATTGAATCACCACGTTCTAGGTAATACCCAGCCCGAGGAACATTAAATGCTGTGKTGGGCCACATTTGACCCACAGGCYTTGAGTTTAACAMGTGTGCTCATGGTCWTGGCAGTGCTCAGACCAGCCCTTAGCTTGTCAGTCCAGTCAGAACTAAACATTATTTCTATGAAATGTGAAAATTCAAAACCATATTCACAGGTAAATACATTTTTGTTCAAAACCTTTCCACGTAACTCCACATCACATTTGAACTATCAGCAACCAACAAAGGCTGCAAAAGATCCATTTGTGTACCTCCAATAAAACAGCTGCTGAGAGAGGGGAGGTTGGCGGGAACAGGAAAGAAACAATTCTCACCAGAGTTCAGCATGAAGGTCATGAGCACTGACTCAGGCTGATGACATCACATAGTGTGATTGTTTTACTACAAAAGCTTTACGGTCCAGAGTGACGTCTGCTTTGTGGCAAAGGACTTAGCTATAGTGAGAACACTAAAAAAGGAGAATCTAGTTGTATCACATACAATATGTGCATGCTTCTAARTGAAAGCCGACAGCTACAACAAACAGACATGCAACCGAAAAGCTTCGTTTAGCACCAACACGGCCCTGCACTGGGACCACCACCTCACCTAGCCCATTATCACCTTGGGGTACARCCAAAAAAATAAAAATAAAAAGTTGCACTTAGAGGTGAAGAGGCCAGTAGTGGCTTAGTCAGCTACAGAGTTTTCTTTTTGAGAGTCAAAATCAAGTTCTTTATGTTCTCTGCTTTGTTTGACGTCTATTTTAGGCTGTTGGTTTTCAATCACTAAAAATCACGGAATAAGTTTAAAGTTCAAGCTCTCACCCAATAACACCAGCGGTGCTGGAAGCGCAGATTTTTTATGCAACGRCAAGAGGTTGCATTTGCAATCTAGGCTGTTTACTGTTTATCAGCGGTTTATCACTGATCAGAAGGGGTGAAGTCTGCCTGTTGAGCCTACAGCACAATGAGGTGGTGGGGGGGGGCAGCGATTGCTCATATCTGCAAGAGCGATAACCACCTTTGAAATCCACTTAATGAGCTGATAACAATCCAAGCTAATGTTTCATCTTTAGCTGACAGCAGTTGAATCATCGGCCACAAGAAGATTTTACAAGCTGTAGCTTTAACTTGACAATAATTTTGAGCCTCTATAACCGCTGTGCCACAATAAATATCCTCAGTCTTTTCACTGTTTGTAATCGTTACTTTACACTATAAATTTTATACTATTAAGTTTATAGTTTATCCCTAAATTTAGTCATAGACTGCATAATCACTGATTGAGAGTGAAGCCAGTGTGAAAACATTTACATTTTATTTTATTAACCAGCTGGAAGGTTGATTGATTTGATTTGATTTATTTATTTAACAGGAAAAGATTACTAAAAATCAAGCCTGACTCAGCATAATTGCTGTTTTACAGCAGGTTCCTGTTCTGCAGCACATAAAACACTCAGAAATACAGCATCACAATCACATCATTATACACCATAGACACAAAGACAAACAAGAATACCAAATTTCAAAAAGGCAGCATTTGCAAAATAAGACGTCTAAATATGAGCACAACAAAAATGTCCAGCAGATGGCAGGCAAGATTCTTCTTAAAGGGCTGTGGTTTTGAAATGGACTTTATGTTTTGAGGAATGTCATTCCATGCTTTAGTATAAACATAGAAGAAAGACCTCTGGCCGTAACAGTTTTTAAAAGTTGTTAATATCAGTTGTCCTTTTGTAACAGATCTAGTTGAATGACCACTTCCAGAATTTGATTTGGGCAACAATGCACAGAGAGTTCCATAATTGGCACCTTGGAAGATCTGAAAATATAAATTAATACCACTATACAAAACATAATTCTGAAAAGTCAAGGCATCAGACAATGAAAGAACTGTACAGTGATGAGTCCAACCAGGAAGTTTTTTATGAATTTTGTAGGCCCTGTTGTAGAGCCTAACTATGGGTTCTAAGATTTCATTTGTTGTAGGTTTTATTCTAGTTGCAAAATGAATTTGCTTTAGGTCTACTTAGGCCCCATCCTTACTACTACAGGTGTTTTTTACAACATAAAAACATATACAGGTATGTTCTGTTGAATTTGAACCTTCTGTCCACAAACCATGCTTTAGGTAAAAATAATATGTATTCAAAGAACTGTTTCTGGTGGATTCATGTGGACTTGAGGTACTGAGTTTTTCAGAAACAATGAATACCCATTATCACTTTGTGTCCTAGAAACTCAAACAAATATGAAGCAGATTTTAAGACTTTTTTTAGGGGAAGTCATTTTTTTTGCTTATTCTGATTCTGTCTGTGAYCCTGAAAGGAAGAAGTGGATAAAAGTAAATGGACGGATAGATGGTTCATCATCAAATGCTGATGTGCTGAATGATTATTGTCGAAAGAAAAGACTGAATGGCATTTAAAAAAAAACAGGGCACAGAAGGATCTTTAGCAAAGTTAAACATGATGTTTCCTGCATTTTGATTATGGGTGGATTCTCGCTGGGCTGTTGGAGAGTTGCTGATTYAAGATTGAGAAAAATAAATGGCAATTACAGTTCCATTGATTTCTGTGTTTTTGCAACCAAGGCATACACCCACTTTTTGAACCCCACTTAGCTACAAAAAAGTTAAAGATATTTAACTTTWGGTAAAATTGTAGGATGAACTTAAAATGTAGTTTAACCTGTACAGATMTTCAATGTTCCAGTACTTTTTGCACAACGCTCACTGTTCTTTAACAAGAAGTTTAAGYCTGGTTCACATGGCAAGAAAATGAAGCTGATTTTTGATCAGATTTTGCCCTTCCAACAATTGTAAGAATGCCCTGATGGCTATAGATAATCATATGAGATATTCCTGCTGTTTGTGGATTATTAATCTAGTCCGCTCTGAAGAACGTTGGACCGCTCCGATCTCAAATCAAAGATATTCAACATGTTAAATTGTCTTGGCTSGATGTCCCAGCATGTGTTGTGTTCCCYGAGGACAAATGAGCTCTCAGCCTGCTGAATGTGACGTTCGGTCAAAAAGTGAGGTGACCGAAACATGGAGGGGAGTCCAAAACACAGAAGACAAAACAACTGCCATGGCTCACCAGAAAGTCTGGTGTACGTCAAAGACTTCTTTTCGTTTTGTTTTTGTCACTGTTAAAAATTGTCCACAAACTATCATTGTTGCTTCTTCCTTGTCGACCATGTTTATTTACTCTGAACTCACGTTTGATCTTGAGAGGTTTCTGGAGATTTCCTGTCTGACGTCTTAAGGTCTGTGAGTGAAATCTGTGTTGTTGTACACCACACAGTGTAGGACCAAAACTTTTGTTTATCTTCGTGTGGGGTCTCTCAGTCTTTGAAAATCAATCAACAATTTTAAAATTTTTAATCCATGAATTGACCAATACATTTCCTGGTTTGATTAGAATTAGATTTTAAACAGTCCTCCACATCATGCTGTTCACATTTTGATATCACCAAGATGACTCTTAACAACTGATCAACAGAACCTGGCCAAAATATGGCAGACTTTTGTGAGTAGTGTATTTTGTGTGCAGGCATGGCTTCTTGGATGTGTGGAATATTTTGTTACCCACTGCCTCCTATATTGCGCCTGCATTAGCCCTCTTTGTACTCATCTTGGCAGAAGCCCCCAAACTTATAATTGAATCTACAGGATGAGGAACCTCTGATTTTCAATGTCAAAAATCCAACTCAGCATTCAGAGAGTTTTCCCAACCCTGAAAATTACAACTTCCAAATATTGAAGGAATGCACTGTTTTGTACAAAAGAAAAAAAAAACAATCTTGGAGAGTTAGATTTAAGTGAATAGCACACTAAAAACCAAAGCTACTTTCAACACATGCTTGAAATGTCTCATTAAAWTTACATTACGACAATAGAAAATTGGAAAGTAAATAATTTCTTTTCATTTCTTTTCAGGTGGGGCGATAACAAAGCCAACTGATAAGCCACGCCTGACCTGCTGCAAACAACTGTAGTAACACCGGACCCCCCGTCAGATAAAGCAAGAAATGTAGAAGTTTAATTAGATGCTTCCTGACTGAGCTTTAAACTGTCGGAACTCATTATTCATATTTCTTTGTCTTTGAACGGTTTTTGTTTTGTTTTAAATCCCACCGAGAGAGCAATTTATTACGAACTGTTGCCAGATAAAATGATTTAGCCCGCCCCCACCCCCCAATTCAAACTGCCAAGAGCTTCTGCAAAGGAAAAAAAAAAGGGGGGGGGGTATTCTTTTTTTCTTTTTTTTGTGCTTGAAACTTGAAATGCCAGGCACATTGTGATGTGCTCAATCAAAGTTTGGATGGAGCTGCTGGCAGGCGTTTAAAAAGAGATTTTGTGGATTTTCAGGTAGCAGAAATGTGAACCCRGTCCGTGGCTCGTGACTTTCTGCCGCTCAAAGCAGTAGACCACAAAATACTGAGAAATTTATGATTACAATGTGGAGCGGTTGAAGTCATCATCGTCCCTTGGTTTCAGCTTTCCACACGGTCAGATCACTGCAGACTCGTCCTTACCGCAGTAATTCACACTCTCCCCAGACACACACATACACGCACACACACACACATACGCACACACACACAGGCAGGCAGCTTCTTTACTCCACCAGCTGGACAGGCCACCACCTGCAAGGCTGTGATGGCGCACACACAAGCCTGAAGTCCTGACACAAAAAAAACAAGGAGTCTTTGAAATGCTAATCATGAGGAGAAAGAGGAGAGAAAAGAAGAGGAGCTCCTTCACTACTGACTCTTTACATTCAGCTTTTTTATTTTATTTATTTTAGTTTATTTTGTTTAGCTCTACACTGTGTGCTCCTGTTGAGAGGACTCTTCTTATAGTAATGATAGGAAACTGTTGTTTTTCTGCCTTGGAACAAAATGTGGCCATTAAGAAAAAAAGTTGTTTATTACCATTTAATCAGTCGTTTCCTTATTATGCACAACATTCATTTTAGACCCACCCTGAGTGTCTCTCTTTTATTGCCTAAGTTCAGCCAGCATTTTTACCTTTGTTACCAAAGGGAATTTTTAAAATAACACAAATCTAGCAGCTGCAAATCATTCCGTTTTAGGCGTCAGGCTTGTATGAAGGCCACACGCTGTGCTCGCTGAAAGCAGCTGAATTCTAAGCAGCTTGCTCAACATCACACAATTATGCATTATGATTGTTTTGGCGAAGACAGGCTTCTTCACTGAGCCCCATCACGCTGTTCCAACATTTTGTACACGGGTTTGCTTTGTAAACAGCCGGGTTTTAATTGTCATTGAATGTTTTGGAGGGCTGTGGATGTTGATAAGATCAAATATCTTTTTTTTGAAAGATTCACATGAAGATGAGGAGTTAATTCCTCTCCTAAAAATGGTGAGGTAATTGAGAGTAATTGAGTTTTTTTTTTTTTTTTTTGGTATGCGTCATTTGCAGCTTAACCCAGCCAAAGCTTGAAATTCTGATCATGCAGGCCTGGTACAGAACAAATCCAGCATCAGTGGGATAAAGAAAGATGATGGTTTGTTGACAAAAATACATTTTTTTTAGGATTTGGACTCAGCTGTTGTTAAAACATGTTCACATGTGTGGAAGCAATAAACCAAAACCTGCACAATATATTTCAATTAGTTCCAGCAATAATTGACCAATTATTATRTGGGACTGAAATCTGTTGCTGTAAATAGAGACAGATTACACTGCACTGTGAAAAAGTTTGTGGGACATTTGTTCTGGAAACACAAGAAGAATATGATTATCCAATAAATCCACTGGGAATTTGATTTTATACTGAGTTTTAGAACGTTCAGCATATTCGTGGAAAACTTTAGCACCAAACTTTTATGGGTTAGATTTATTTTTTTATACAGAAAGTCAGAATCTTCACGTGTTGCTGCATCTAAAAGAGGACAGAGTCTGGAAACATCAGCGCTTATAAGTCCAGAAAAAAGCTTTTATTTGTTGCTTTATTTGTGGATTTCATTTTTTATTTGTTTGGTTGAATTAAACTTGTTTCATTTAAATAAAATGATTCAAAGCCACTTTTAGTGAACTGTAGTCCTCATCCATCCATGTAATATAATAAAACAGAAACTATTTGCCATGTTTGCACCTCCTCTCTGGACTTTTTGGTAAAACAAAAAAAGAGTTTTATAGCAGATTGTTTCATGCATGCCCACCTTTACTTCGTGCTCTAGAAACTAATGGAATTCTTTTTACCACCCCCCCTCACCTATATATTCTGATTCTGTCACCATTAAACCTGCTTCAACAAGACGGAGACAGTGGATCAGTGATTACGTCACTTCAGACATTTTTGTCTCACCCAGTGGAGGAAGAAGACATGGAGGATGAATCAACATAATTTCTCCATCTGCCCCACCCACAGCACTCCCATTGTAGCAAACACCACGATTAGCCGCATATAAACAACAACACTGATAGCAGGAGAGAGCTGCTATCTAGATGATGAGACAGTGGAAGAGAAACTCGTGGTGTTTGATGAGGAGTCTGAAGAGGAAATACTCAGTTTTCCTTTTTGTTGTCCACAGAAATGGAAACAAACCGTGGACGGAGATTGTACATTCATGTCAAACTGCTCCTCTATGCTGTCCATCCTGCTAATTTAACAAATTGCTTTATGGGAGCAGACCATTTTCAGCCAAATGACGTGGAAGCTCCTGCTGCTCCTTGTTAACAACCACGCCCACAAGTCTGACCAATCAGATTATACAAATTGGTCTGTAGAACAGAAGTTATGCAATTTTCATCCTGCAAGATGTGAGAATGGWAATGTAAATCAGCTGAAATGGTTAATAACAGAGGAAATGATGATTGGTATAAAAGAACAAAACTAACCGTTTAGAGGAAGGTTTTAGTTAAGCTAAACTATCGACATAAAAACACTGGAGTGAGTGTGTTTGTTGTTTTGGCTTACCTTTCTCATTACATCACTGCTTTTAGTTAATATTATTTGTCAATCAGCAAACATTTTCCTGTTCTGTACTTTGAAAACATAGAAATGTAGAAGAAGAAGAAAAAAATGAGCAGTAGTGTGAATGTACCTAAATGTATTTTTATCATTCCTAACTTTTTAGGAACTTGGGCTGTAAATGGTTTTATTAATAAAGAAAATTTTCTATATCAGCACAGTCACTGTTCATATTTTCTATTCATCATCGGTTTTTAACGTTTACTCTTTTTAATAAGCGTGCATTAAACTCCTGTTTACATATTATGCTCTTATAATTGTTGTCACTTTTACTCTCTGGAAACAGTTTGTGCAGTAAAATATTTTAATTTCTCTAAAAATTATTTCAAAAACTGTATTTATGGAATAAAAAATTGAATTGGAAAAGAAACAAACAAACAAAAAAAAWATATTTTTTACATCCCACTGGGGCTTATGTCAGCTCTGACATCACACATGCTCAGATTTCTGCTTCTGCTCCTTAAAATACCAAAAATAGTCTCACAGCACTCTTCCTAACTCTTTTTCAAAGCAGTTGTGTGACGTTCATTAGATGATTTTCACATGTTTGTGATCACTGCTACACAGGATCTTTAAACAGTTTGTGAAACTTGTTGATGATTACCTTTTATGTGTAAAATAACCTTAAAGTGTGTCAGAGAGACTTTAACYATGTGCTAAAACCCTCTCTGCAGCCTGTCAGAAAACTTTGGTTAGAAAATTACTTTACTTCAAATGAAGATGAAAGCAAGAAACATAAGATAATTATGKTTTTTGTAGAACCTCCAACCTTAGATGGAAATTGTTGTGTAAAAGAGTCTGTCTAATAGTTATAAAATATGCATAAATACTGAGAATGATGGATTACAACGAGGATTAAATATCCACACCTGTCATTTAAAAACTTACTGATTTTCTTAATCCAAAMGAGACTCACAAACCATTTCTGCTGTTTGACACAAGTGTCTGGTTCATACATGAGACGGTCCCTGTTAGTTTATGTTCACAATATAGCTTGTGGTGCATAAAAAAATCACAAAAAATACATTTTATTCCCTTTTAACAATGATGTTTCTCATTTCCAGTTGATATAGTAAAAATACACAAATCTCTTTATTATATGCAGATTTTTTAAATGTAAACTGAGCAAACCTCTCATTTCTTTCAGCAGTAGATTTCTAACAGCAATAATTAATCTAGTTTGGTTCTGATTCAGAAGTGTTATCTCTTCTTTAACATCATTTGTGCCGCCTGCAATAGAGATTATAATGTATTTTTGCATAATTCAAGCAAAGTTGAATAATTATGATTTAGGACAAAAATAACTTGAGTAATGACATTTTTAGCTTTTTGCTGAGTTTTGCTGGAAGTAACAGACTATTGTGCCAAAAACAGAATTACAATTGAAATACAAAAACAACTTAGGAAGTATCCCACGTAAGAAAAATTGTTTGACCCAAATCTGGCCCACACGAACACTCAGTCCAGACACTGCAAAGAATGACGGCTATTTGGTGGCCCAGATGTGGTTTCCAGAGGTGGTCCATAACCTGGGCCAGCACCTCCTATCCCAAACCACAACCAGGCCAGTTGGAGTACACCATCTTAAAAACAGCACCATCATTGCCAGACCTGGCCCACATCTGGTTGACAAACCACTCGCCATGCCAGCAGTGACAGCTTGACACCAGATCTGGCCCACACCTGCTGCTATGTGGGAATCTTCACAGTGATGGAAATAAATAAGCTTGTATTTTATTAAGTGTTTTCTTTGTTTTTTCTTTTGTATATATTTTTTTCTCCTGAGGCAATATTCTTAAAGAAAATTCAACATAAATAAATTTTGTATGAATTTTCGTTTTGGATTTCCTGATTTTTTTTTAATTATTTTTCTTTTTATCCCTGAATTTTGTTTTACCAAGATGTAAACCACAAGAATAAATGAATAATTGTTACACCTTCTGCAGACATCTGAAATTTCATTAGCAACATGTTGTATAAATAAATAAATAAATAAATAAATAAATAAATAAATAAATAAATAAATAAATAATCACACCATTGAGATGAACAGTTGTTGACTCATTCAGTATCTGGGCAGAGTTTCTTGTACATGAGGCACACAGTATCCAAATCAAAATTTCCAGGCCCATCAAATACAGACAGTTTGACCACCTACAGGTATGTTGGGGTCAGYGGATGTTGGATATTCTAACTGACCCTTTGTCTAATGTAAATAGGAGGTGGAGTTAAAATTGCTCTAACATTAGATATGGTGAGGATGAAAACAGGTGGGTAAGGTACTGTGGCCTTTTCAAGACAACTGCTCAATAAAACAATGGACTTTATGTAAAAAAAATAAATAAATAAAATGCTGCTCAAAACCTGAACAGGAGCTTGGAGCTTTTTCACCTCTTGATTTGCCATCTGTTTGGTTAGCAACTGGAGACGGGAAAAGAAATGAGAATAGTTACCAGAGGCTGCAGAAAAACACAAGGTAATCTAAAGTCAGTAATCAGAAAATATTTGAAGACACATGAATTGAACTGAATTTAATTTTTAGGCGACATCACATCAGTGCTGAATCAAACTCTATTTGTGGCTTGTTTTGCAGCAGTGGATTGTTTTCACAATGGGYAGTGGTCACTTGTTCTTTGCCACTTCGTGCTGCAATCTTCCCACCTCAGTCGGTCGACAGTGCCTGATCTGCTTTAATCAGAAAMCTGCAGAAAGTGTGATGTGTTCAAATAGGCAAAGTCCTGCAGGTCTGTGGGTGTAATTGTGTTATGAGCTCTCTGTACAGAAACGTCAACAGGTTGTTACACAGTGGGGACAATTTTTGGTCATTTTCCCTGTACACACAGCCTGGTGAGGACACTGTTCCTTGTGGGGACAAAAGCCCAGATCCATTGGGGGAAATGCCACTGGTGGGTCAGGGGTTTGCTTTAGGACTAAAGTGTGGATTGAGTTTGAGTTAGATTTAGAGTCAGTTATGAACCTGAGAGGTTAGGCTTAGGGTAATGGGTTAGGGTTAGGCTGTGGAAATGACTGGAAAATGAATAAAAGTCAATGTAAAGTCCCCATGAGGATAGAAGAACAAACGTGTGTGTGTGTGTGTGTGTGTGTGTGTGTGTGTGTGTGTGTGTGTGTGTGTGTGTGTGTGAAGGTGGGGGTTTGGCAGGTTCAGAAGGCCCAGTTGTGACGTTCACACCTTGCAACTGGTCATGATTGCCTTCACACTAAAGCAGAGGTTCTCAAACTGGGGTCCCAGGGCCCCCAGGGGTCCGTGAGCCATGTCTTGGGGGTCCTCAAAAAATTTCAATAAATTGTTAATTTGTTTTTTTATTTTTAAAAATGCATATAACGAATAATGCACTTGTAAAAAAAACATACTAAACCAAACAAAAAATATTACCATGGCATTTAGGGGTTAAAATAACAGTAAATTATTTAGCATTAACAGCATGGGGTTTATGAGGGGGTCCCTGGAATGTTTTCACCCTTGTAAGGGGTCCCCAGACCCAAAAAGTTTGAGAACCACTGCACTAAAGGAAGCTTTTCAGATTTGCTACAATCCATGCAGCAAAAACTGAATAGGTCGTGGAGAAGGGGCTTTATTCAGCATTAAAGGGGTCTCAGATGGATGATTTCTGAGTGATTTAGTTATTTTGGTTATTCTTCTGTTTTAATGTTAAGATAATATTGCCAAAACCTTTATTGGAGGGAAAAAATAAAATAAAAAAAACTAAAAAACTAAAAACAGACAGAAACAAAAAAGCACAGCAAACCCTCTTGAGCACGTGGACACAAAAATACTGCTGGACCCTGCCTTCATATGTTCAATTTACTGCAGCCTAATTTCTTTAACTATTTTTAAAGCATCTTGTATGGGTAATTGTGATTTCTTGTCAGTTTTGATTAAATTTAATGCAAGTGTGAGGCGTGAGAGGTAGGGGCAGAAAATAGCCCYGAGCCAGACGCCGCGGTCAGAACGAGGGATTGGACACGAGTCGGTTGCTGCTCGTTTCACGTCCTTCGCCTCGGCTGATGACACATTCTGTTATTGTCCGCCGCGACACACAGAACGAAAGGAAAAATCTTCCAGCAGTTTTGCAGTCTCAAGTCTTCATTTTCAAAACCCCAAAACAACTAAAACCAAATCCAAACGTATTAATAATAATAATAAGAGCACGCAGCTTTAGCCCGGAGGTGCTGCCGTGTCAAGCCTAGTCTGCTCAGAATTCCACAAAGCTGAACCATTTTACCAAACCTATTTTTGCCTACCTGTACTCATTGTGTACCATTTGCTGTGTTGTTCACAATAGCCCAACAAAAGGCACAGAGAGCTCATCTTTAATTCAAGGCAAGCTTTCTCACACAGAGATAAATCCTCTCCCCACTTATACAAGGGGAGGAAAAAAGCCTCCAAGTATTCATCTTTCTCATTCAGCAATTATTTAGCCTACCTGTATCCTCTGCAATTTTTATAGACGGATTCAATTTTGTATTTCCGTYGGCGTTTAGTTGATGCGTTCACCCTGAGTGACACAGAGTGCTCGAGTTCATTTCTCCTCCACGGCCCTGGTGTTTCCAGCCTGCAACACGTGGCCGACGCACACTTTGTCACGTTCATCTCCAAACAATCACATCAGGTTAGCAGCAGGTTGCAACTTATTCAAATTACCRCACCTGGAAACTAAACATTTGGATTTTTTTTCCTTTTTTTAGTGGCTATAATGCAATGTGATTTCATTAGAAAGCCATTTTTAGCCCACTGATTTCATTTACTCTCTAACATATGTCAGCATGAATGTTTGTTTAAAAGAGAGAAAGAAAGAAAGAAAGAAAGAAAGAAAGAAAGAAAGAAAGA